ACACACACACACACACACACACACACACACACACACACACACACACACACACACACACACACACACACACACACACACACACACACACACACACACACACACACACACACACACACACACACACACACACTTGTACACACACAGCAGTGCTTGAACTAGTTCCAAACAGTGTTTCGTGACTCTGCAACCTCCTTCCTCACCCTGATCACTTCCTGTTCTGAGCTGCACTGCAGTGGCTTTGGCATATTCTCCAAAAAATGTCACATACTCCTTGTACACAGTGACTTTTATGTGTAGTAACAACCCGCTCAAATCCAAAACTGTGGAGTCATATGGCATCACACGGTAGCTCCACTTGGCACTTTAAAGGTGAAGTTTCACTCCAATTATCAGTAGACTTCTGGTGACGCAAAAATAATAGGTAAACACTTATAACAACCTTCTCGGCCAAACGATGACTGATGTTTGTCAGCTCCATGTGAATTCCACTTTAATTATAGCCAGAAGCGCTCTGAGATATTTATGTAAATCCCCAATACCTGAAAAAAAAACCTTTTGGGTTAACTTTCACTGGGAATTGGGAAGTTATCTAATATTTATACCCCCTCTAATTGCATGCCATAATTACAACCTTGGCCTTAAGAAAGGCTTTGGAATAAATTGAATTAATGTGGCAGCCATAAGTTGTGTCTGCATGCTGATTCACTCTGCTCCACCTCTGGAGATAAATCTTATTAAATACACTAATAATACACTTAAACCAGATAGAAATGCTTCATGAGAAAAAGTAAAAGCCTCGAGCTGGATGGGATCAAAACAATGTTATTCCAAGAAAGCTCATAGAGAAAATGTCACATGATGACAAAGTTGAAAAGTGTCTGGACTGACTCATACTCATCTTATCTCTTTACATCTGAATGTTTCTTCATCCTCTCTCTATATATATCCGTCTCTCCTTCTTTCTTAACTTTCCTTTGACTGCTCACACACAAACACACACACGTACAGGACTGCTGATCCGGTCCCCCTCTGCGGTCTTCCAACATGCAGCCGGGGTCACGGATGATTAAAGCAGTGGCAGGTGGACTCCACTTTCAAACCATCAATAGACCCCCGAGAGCTGAATCAAACAGCAAACCCTCAATCTCTGTCAGCGCCAGCTCTGGGTTGAGGACATGCAGAGGGTGAGAGGGCAGACTCCACCTCTGTCTCTTCACCAGGCACCGTAGCATGCCTCTGAAAAACCGAGGAGCTGCAATGGAGGAAATCTGGACGCTCTGATGTGATTTCATGCAGGCTTTGTGGATTCATTCAGATGACCCTGAAACCTTTGACCCTCGGGGGCTGCGGGGGCGTGAGGAAAGCTATCTTCTGCAGTATATTTATATTCCCACTACTCTTTAGTTTGCAACGTTGAAATTCAATAAACTGTAGATTTGTGGTTGCTTATACTGTTTATGGAGTTAATATACTGTAGGTACAAAAAATCCACAAGGTCATTGTGATTGTTTGACCTTTCCATGTGGAATGTTTTAACATTGGGGCTCCAGAGCTTTATTTTTAGAGTGGCATGGCTGCAGGGACATTAGTGAGAGTCAGTCCTTCAGTCCAACACTGTGGTCGAGATTGTAAGACCTCAACAACTAATAGATGGATTGCTATCAGATGCCGTTTTGTCCAGGTATTTAAAACCCACAGAGGATGAATTTCAATTGCCTTGGGTTATCCTCTCTCAGCTCATCTAGCACCAACATGAGGGTGACATTTTTTGTTTTGTAGCATAATGATCCAAATCTGTTAGATGTACTTGGTGTTTGGTGAAAGGTTAGCATGCTAACACTTCTGAACACATAATGAGCATGTTAGTATTGTTACTATGAACATAATAATTTGTCAGAACTTAGTCTAAGAGCCATGGCCCTAGGTCTTTGTTTCACTAAAGCTGGACGCCATTACATTATAGAAGAAATTCCCAAAAAGAAATGCAAGAAAAGAAATCGCTTTCTTTTATAGTGACCAAAATCGATTGTAGTTGACACATAAAATGACCAAAATATGAGCAATTTAACTACTATGACTACTATGCTAATGTAAATGTAGTTAAACTCCATACAAACTACTGCAAAATGAAAGTATGTTTTTTGTTTATTTACATGTTGACTACTTCCAAAACCACAATATATCTATCCATATCTATCTATCTATCTATCTATCTATCTATCTATCTATCTATCTATCTATCTATCTATCTATCTATCTATCTATCTATCTATCTATCTATCTATCTATCTATCTATCCATCCATCCATCCATCCATCCATCCATCCATCCATCCATCCATCTATCTATCTATCTATCTACACTGGTTATAATCAAAATAACAGAGCACAGTCATGCATGTGACTGCCAGGGCGCCATGGTAGTATTTCCAGGAGGAATGATTTAATGGAAATGTCAAGAGCAGCAGTCGCTCCAAGCAAAGGCTGAACCCTCTGATACAATGTGAGCCACTTTACCTCAGTGGGGATGAGAGACTTGTTGTCATGCATGCAGCTCCGGTCTGGACCAAATCTGCCTTTATCAGAAAAGAAATGGCTTTTAATGGGATTACAGGTCTTCCCTTGCATATTAATTTGCCAGAAATCAATACAGGCTGATTTGGGGGCATTTTAAAACCCTCAGCTTCATAGTGATCAAGGTGCAAAGAAAAAGTGATATAGACCAAAGAAAACAGGTTAAGAAATGAAGTGTGTCTATTCTGATGTCTTAAAGGAAGAGATGGAATGAAAGGACTCCTTAAAACTGATATGGTTCATTCCAATATGTTTATTCTAACATTTAGAAATAAAAAGAATGAAGTGGGTGAAAGAAGGACAATCTATATAAGGGAAAGAAAGGAACCCACTGCGAGCCCCAAACTGTACTATTCATCACAGTCTACTTTACCAAACAACGTTTTAAAGCATTGTGAATATGAAAAAGCGTTACCTTCTTGATTATAAAGCCACTGGTGAAGTTGCTATAGGGCACAAGAGCTGTCCAAGGTTCTGAACATGAATGCAAGAAGTTAACAGAAGGGAGTAAAAACAATATCATGTAAAAAAAATTGTGCACCTTCACATTTCTAACTAAATGATTAGAGGAAAACACCCTGGTTGCTTTGTGGCTTCGATGGAACTCAATCAATTTACACACCTCTTAAAATGATTTGAGAATATAAGGGTCTAGAGTACTACAGTACATTTACAACTCAGTTTTTTTGCACCGACATGGGATACAGTCCACTCAATTACTGTGGTGACCTTCAGGTGGGCGCGGTTGTTCTTATCGTGCAATCTCCACCAGTTGGCATTACACCTCAATTAAAATGCGTGTTCAAAGCGACCCGTCACCGCGGCTGTTTGCCGTGCTGCCTGGCACCCTGTAGTGGAGAGGGTGACACCTATGACTCTTCGCCAAGGGAGCCCGGTATACGCACCTAACTGTAGTTATTCTATCAGCTCTCCCTTCAAAATTCGCCGACTATTAACACCATCAACTTCGACTGGAGGACTTTTTTCCCTTTCCTTTTTCTGCACGCGCAGAAATCCACACAATCTTAATGGAAGGTAAGATATTTCTTTTGTCTTTCCGAAAACATCGAGTTCTGAAGCAGTGTTGTAGTGGAAACTTCGTCTATATTATCAGGTTGTTATGAGCGTCAACAAAACAACCAACATACATTATATTTCCAGATATTTTGTTTAGTTTTTTCGGCGATCCAATCCTTCCAACTAATAATGTATTCTAATTGTGTACTTTTTTAATGTATGTCCTGAGGACTTGCCTCTGTTAAGATTTGGTTGATTTATTCTCCACATGAATCCCTGTCATGTTGACGGATCCTAAATGTGATAATACAATCGCAATGAGTTAACTCATAGTTGTGGTGTGCACGGCGTTAGATGACACGTCTTATCAGAGCTGAACACTGTAATTACTGTTTGCTGAAGTCGAAAATGTTCTAACTGTTTTTCAATGGATGTTAGTGCGTATTGGCTTGCGTCGAGGCTGTACCACATACTCTGTTGCCATCTTGGAGCAACTTTAAATATAAGATTCGACTTTCGACGAAACAAATCATGCCATGTTAATTAGTTTTAAATGATTTCCTTCATATGAGTGAACGGGAGGAAATGTGCTGTCAGGGATTTTCCAAAAGCATCCCCTCTAAGATAAAGTCAGAGTTGGATTTAAAACACAATATTAACTACTATGAAAAAAAAGAGATCTTGAGGCTGAATCGTTAGATAAACGACTCGAGGGAAGGTTTGCTATTTTACGCAGTTGCTCGAATTTAACCACGTCGTAAAAAACAATGGTTGAAGTTGAGATTTACAAGGAAGTCTGAATTGTCTTTAGGACCCCGCGGAGTGCTCGTATGTAACTGGACATAGCGTCTCCATTTGAGGAAGATTGCTTATCTCCCTCCTCCTTTACGGTCCACAACTCGGCAACACTATCAAATCTATCCAAAAGCCTCCATAAGTTGCTCAACATCAGGATGTGTTTTCATACGCGTTGATGGACTTTAATGCATTTGCGACCACTGCGAATCCCCTTAACGTCTTGTTGAAGTATTTATCGTGCGCCATTCCGATATATGCTGCGCTAAGAGCAGTGCTGCGTAAAGCCAAACAGCCTGTGTGGACTGTCGTTACTTGGCGGCGTTTGCAGGCGCGAAAGGAAAGGTCTCAATGGGAGCAAGTCCCGGAACAAAATATGGACAATAAAGCTACTCTAGTGAGACTCAAAAGTTAAAACAAAGTTTAAAAAAAAAAAAGAGAGAGAAAACGTTTAGCTCTTCATTTGAATGCCGCTTCTCTTGATTCATCTGGTGAAATTAGAATAATCTGGAAAGAGAATAATCACTCGAAGGCGTATCAAAGTACTGCTGCAACTTCTTTTGGCTGTTAACTTGTTGAATGAGCAGCTCGACCCAGGAGCGAATTTAAATGTGAGTATTGTCGAGCTTTGAACATTCATATTGTTCATTTTCCTTTTTGTGCACACCGTCACAGTTATAGAGCCATCACAGTATAGGTTAACTGTCACTCTAATCAGGTTTGAAGTGGTATTGTTTAACATACGGAAGCCTAAAACATCCCTATTATTTTTCCGATTAATATTTGTTTTATAATGGGACTTCAACCTGTTGCGCAGCAGGTCAGTAAAGTCAGATATAGGTGTGCCTCGCCTCTGCGCAAAATCTGACCCAGAACATAACGAGACAGCTCCTGTTAAATATCTAAGTGTGTGTGCCTAATGGTTGCTTTCTGTGCATCTTACTTTGAAACGTGCTTTATCACATGAAAAACTATAACGTCAAGGACTTTTTCCTTGCTCTCTGTTGTGTGTGTTTGATTGCATAAATGTAAGATGTCCTAGATTTTAGAATGTATTCAACATGTTCTGCGTTTTTGCATGTTAGTGGTTGGAGAAGAACTTTAAATAATGTATGGCATCAAATTTCATGTGTGGCATGCAGTGGTGCAGGCAGGCTGCACCACTGCCTCTCTGGCTGGGCTCCTCACTGAGGGACCCTCACACTGTCTCCACATCAACCACATCCTCCCAGGGTAAAAGCTCTTTGCACAGACAGTCACTGTTGTAAATAAAAAGTGACTCCAATTTCAGAGGCTAAAGGTGGAGCCCCTGGACAGTAATTGTGATGTTTAATGTGCTTATAGATCTAGTGCAGTAATGGTGCCGTTGAGAGACAAAGAAATGGAGAAGGGTTTGAAGAGAGAAAGAGCAGGGCTGACCGATTGAATGAGAGACCCTGTGAGAGTGAAAGACAATGAGAAGACAAATGCTTGCCAGTACAGACATGCTTCTGCTTGCCAGTGGATCCCACTGTGACTCATATGGAAGGGTTTGGTTCTTGGCGCGGAGGACCTTGGAAGCATTAACACGTTTATTGTTGCACTCATCAGCCGGCCACAAAGCATCAGTCTGCTCAAACTGGCTATGGATCAAAAGTTATTGGTTGGAAGTCAGCAAAATCAATAAACACAACGAGGCGGCATTGTGCGTGTACACATCCAAAATCCTTAACAGGTGCTCGATACAGAAACAGCAAGACAACAGAACAGCAATTGTTGCGAGGTAAACCGCAGATGGGGCATCAGTTTAGGCTGTCAAGGGCTGTTTTCTTGTTTTTATACTGAAATCAATAAAAGTGTCATCTTGAAATCGACGACAGTGTTTAAGGTACAGGTGTACTACTGTGAATCGTAGTATGTCATCACCATGGACAGCTCTCTTCCACTTTGCCCATTAAGGGAGCCAGGAGGAGGTCAGAAAGCCACCCTCGGAGACAGAGAGCAAAGCCACACTTTAGCGGGATTACTATAAAATGAATAGAATACATCCGCCATGGTTTTTAAGAGTCTGGCTGGGAGTTTGTAAGCAATATAAGCCACGGGGCACGGCTGCCTGCTGACTTTTAAGACACTCCGCCATGCTTGAGCTGCCCAGGGGATGGAATGCAAGCGGACACAAGGGGGTGTTTCAGAGGCTTCAAAAACAAGTGAAGGAAATGAGAGAGAGAGAGAAAGAGGGGGAAGCTGAGGGTGAGGGTGGGATGGTCACCCTAAGCTCTCACTCTCTCTCTCTCTCCCTGCATATGGAGAGCTGCTCAAATATTTATGACTTTTAATATAGAATCTGACTTCATATTTCTCTCATTTAAATTATGACATTCCTTAGTTCCTCCGTGCATTATAGTGATACGAGGTATGTTGAAAAGGCGGGGGAGACAAGAGGAGTAGTTTCTAATTCCTGTATATTTATAGTTTCAGAGTGTAATTTTTATAATAAAGGTTTTTTTCATATTTGCACCTCTCTATTGGATTTAAATGAGCCAAGATGGTGTCAAAACACTTGTTGTATGTAGGTTATTTTTAATTAAAACAATAACTGAAAACGGGTCTTAAAACATTTGTTACTGCATGATTTACTCCCTTTCCTTTCAAATTGCTGTGCTCTGATGTTGAATGGTATCTGTCAGCAGAGGTTCACTGTGCATCCTGACACATTTTCCTTTCATCTGAAGATTTCATTACTCCAAGTGTCTGTGAATTAAATCCAATATCCCCGCGGTCAGCTCAATTTGCTGTCGCTTATTAGCTTTGAATGTTCCCTTTTAAATAAAAGAATAGCCTCCCTGACACTGCAGCTGGTACCTAATTTACCTGTCTTTATAATGAAAGTCAACCTCAGCATTATGAAAGGGCGAATATAGGTGTGTGTGAGTGCTTGTGCGTGTGTGTGACGCCATGTGAGTTGGAGAGTGGTCCATCCTGTGACGCATCGCTGATCAGCGACTGACATTTATATTTATGAATTTTGATACACGCAAGAGAAATCGCTCATTCATCACTCAGAGCTCCAGCCGTGTTATCAAATTTGTAATTGGCCTCACCTTAGGAGTCTTGTTGATTGACATGAGCATTTTTTAAAACCCTAAATTCCCTCCCTTAAAATGTTTCTTTCACCAGTTTATTTTCCCCTCCCACCAGAGGTCTATCAAATGAAGCCTGCCTTCAAACCTCCTGACATGGCTCAGGTTGAAAGGTCTGCCGAGCCTGAATTGTGGTGCAGATATTCATTTTGCTTCAGATGAATATCTGTCATTACATTTGGAATGTATTCACGCCCGTAGTCATTTTTGTAAAACGGGCGTTAGGTTGGGAAAAGAAAAGAGGTGATTGCCTTAGATGTGGTCAAAGGTATTCAAATTGGCACCATTTTCAGTCAAAGACAAGATGGCCAATTTAAAATACTGAATTTTAATGCCTCCATATGTCAGCAGGGAGCACAGAACCCAGCCTGCGTGTGTGAGCTGTAGCAACTCATTAAGATAAGTTTCTGTTTCCACAATGTGATCCATATCTTTGTCCTTTCACACGATGAACCTTTTTTATTAAAACTCTTTCCTTAATTAATTGTATATGACTTGATAATCTCTTGATAAAACGGTAATCTCGTGACAAAAATCCAAAAGAAGCTTTTTCCTCTGAACATAAAAGACTCTCCACATGCTTTCAACCCAATTTTACCAGAAACTGTTTTATTTCAGCACTGACTGTCAGTCACAGCTGTAGCCTAAATGGGGAGAGAGTAAAGCTGTTGAAGGGAAAGGCATGTTCCCAGTGGTTGTGACAGGCACAGCTTACGTCTGAATCTGCGTTAGAATAAATGTGATGTGACATTGCAAACTTGTAATGGGCTTTTAAAAGGGATAACTGTTCATGCTTGTTGACATTTGGTCCTAAGTAGATAAACGTTCAATTGTAATGTGAGTACATTTTTCTGAAGAGCCACTAGCGGATACTTCCACAGACTTCTCCCCCAAACCTCCGGCTACTGAGCACATTGACTGTTAACACCTAACTCCTATTTACTGAAAAGTTGCATTGCTCTGTTGCAGGTAGTTTTGTTATAGCTGCTCCACATTATTTTCTCCACCAGCGCACAGACCATTTACCTGAGACATTGAGATTGTGTGTGTCTCCACTGACTGCTGCCAGGCACCATTACCTGATGAGTTAGGCCATCTGACTGATGGCTTGTGATAGCTCCGGGAAACGTACAATCCCTCAAATAGACCATTTCTGTCTCCCAATTTTACTTTAATATTTCCCAAATGCCTCTGAAAGCTTTGGGACAAAGGCAACCCCACATTCAGCAGTGAAAGGAGCAAGAGAATCGGTAAAAGCAATAACTTAAATGCGGTGACATGACACATGGAAATAAGCCTTTTTGTATGAAAATAAAATGGAGATTAGGCTTCGCAGAACAAGCACGATTTGAATTGTATAGACTGATTTTGGCAAGGTTATTATTGAGGGTAACGTATAAATAGTGGACTGCTGCATTGTCTTTGTGTATAAATGGTGTGTGTGTGAGTGGTAGTAGGTGATGTGACGCACATCGCACATGTTATCCACCTCAGTGCCCTTAAACCATGTAGAACTTTAAATATATACTATAATTCAAAAGTAATAATAACAATATCTCAAATGCTTTATATGTTCTGTTAAATTCACCAAAGTGTCCTTTTCTTCTGTCTTATAGGATGCTGTGTGCTGCAAAAACCACAACTGAAAGGAGATCAAGCTAGGACATCTGACAGCCGCTGACTTATGAGGAGTGTCACTCCCCTCTGCCCATCACATCTGACCGTTAGTTGACCCTTTCATCAACACCCAACACTTGTGAAAAGCCCCTTGTTGACACACCTCATCAACCAGGCAGAAGTGCTAGCAATCGAAAAAACAAAATAACTAAATGGGGGCGAATCGTTGCCTGAAGCTGCTCATACAAAAGTAGCAACATGATGCCACAGTTCCCAAATGCACCATTTGGCTGAAGTTGAATTAGAAAATTCTCAGCGATTTTGTCATTTTTTTATGACAAAGCAGCAGCTGTAAAAACTAAAAGTTCAACAAAAAACACACAGAATGAGATCAGCGATGCTTTTGCCCGTTTTGTTCGCTCTTCAAGCTGGGTGCACCAGCGTGGCCCACGCCATGCAAAACTACCCCGCGGCCTGGGGGCACTATGACGTGTGTAAGTTCCAGATCTATACAGAGGAGGGACTGGCGTGGGACTACATGGCCTGTCAGCCAGAAGGCACTGACATGACGAAGTACCTGCGAGTGGCCCTCGACCCCCCAAACATCACGTGTGGAGAGCCGCCAGAAACGTACTGCGCTTTGGTGAGTAGTAACCTCGCCCGTCCCGTGATGGAGACAAATGAGGCTGTAGGCAGGATCACACAGAGTACTGGGTCAGGGATAGAGAGCGGTGCATACAAGGGACCGAGCTATTGCTGCGTCAGAGATTAATGTGCACATTGAAACAGTGTGCACACTTGGATGCACTTACATGAAGCAGCACAGACACAATGCAGAAACACATCAATAAACAATCATTGAGAAGCAGGTGTTAAGGTCCAATGGTTTATATCAGCACCCTAATATGTACAGCACATGCAAGCAACAAGTCATTCAGCATGAACCACAGTTAAATTACTCATCTGGTAGCCGAGTTAAATCAAATGTGTGTCTTTTCTCACAGTACTAAGGTTTTAAACTGCGGTCACAGATTGTTTGTCAGAGAGAACCATTCAGAAAAACCCATTGAAAGCTGTTTGAGAAAAGGAAGGCACTTTCAAAAAATATTTAGCAGGTGATGTTTTTTTAACCACCTTAACCACACCCATAGCTCCTCACTGGAAGCTGATTGGTGAAAAGTTTTGTATGAAGCCTGATGTGCTGGATTGGATCTTATGATTTTTCTCGTATGATCTGCAATATGTTAAGAATGTACCTGACTCATATGGTCATTTATGCATATTCTAACGAGCCATTTAATAAATGCGAGGTATTTTGTTCTTAATCCCTTTGAATAGATAGATATATGTTGTGCTATATCATAAAACGCTGCAGAACTTTAAAGTTATTTATTTTCCTCTTTAAAAATGTTTTTTTACATTTACAGCATGTTGACAAATTAAGGTGTTTGGTCAAAAAAAATGACAATATTAAAATGTACCACTTAGCTCTAATAAGCAAACACAGACACATGCCAAACAAAGTATGCCTGCAAACACTAAAGCACACACACACACACACACACACACACACACACACACACACACACACACACACACACACACACAGTAGATCAGTCTTAGCACTGATAGGGTAATTGTACTGGCGCAGTTGTTATGCACTGCATGCTCACAGCAGTCTCAGCGTCGTGTTTCATTGGCCCTTATCAACCTTTATCAACAGTTCAACCTCAGGTTGCATTTGTCTAGAATCACACAAAAGGAAACAGCAAGAGCCCACAGGCTCTAAAGTGCTTCATTAGAAGTTGCGTGTGAGCCCACTGAGAGCCCCTGAAAGTAAATATTTACCAATTAAAATGAGCATCTTTAAAAGGAGAGTTTTAATTTGTGCAGCTCCAGATGGCATTGAGACATTTAATGCCACTGTAGGATGACAAAGAAGCAAGTCGCTAGTCAGGTGTTATGTTCTGTAAAACTTTATATGAAAACAAACAGTAAAACCTTTATCATCAGTTGATTATCCCGAAAAGCACATTAAAATAACGCAGGGAGTAGAAAGAGACACATAGTGGTCAGACTGGTGCCTCCTTTGGCTACACAGTAACTGTTGGTACCTGACGTTGTTTTTGAACAACTTTGTCTATATATATATTTTCAATTGAAACATTCCTACAATATTGTTGAATATTCTTGTATTACTCTGTGTTTATAGTTGATAGTTAAGATTAATAAACCAAGTTGTTTTACTGGACATTTGTTAAGTTTCAAATGATAAGATAATGGTTACAATACATGCTAGTTGAGTCTATTTTGATGTTGAAATTCAACTGATGTTAGCAATGTTGCTAGTTGTGCGTAGGGTTGCAAAGAGGCGGAACATTTCCGTTACATTTCCATGGGAAGTTAAGCTGGGGAATTTTGGAAATATTCGATGCAAAATTAAACAACAACATGACATTTCAACAGATTTTTATTTTTTACATTTTTTTTTTTAAGTGGAACAGAACAAGTTTTAATTATTTTATTGAATAATTATTTGTTTCATTGAAGAACGAAAACAGGAATGTTAAGGTTAAATATTACTGTGCATGTGATGGAGGAATGCACAGTGCCTGTAGGGGGTGTGGTCTCAATAGCCATGCAGTAAGCAGTTTGCTATGGCATGGATATTCAAGTGTACTTGAATGGCATCTGTTTGTTTTAGTCAAGATTATGCTAAAATATACTTTCCCCAACTATATTTAAGTTCCCTATGAAGAGCCAACCTTCAATTTTGAAAATTCCCAGTTTATTCCCATACATTCTGGTTATTCCCATATATTCCCGTTTATTCCCGTTTATTCCCGTTAATTCCCATGGAAAGTTTCCATCTTTGAAAATTCCCGGAATTTTGCAACCTTAGTTGTGCGTCCTGCTTCTCTTACGCTTTAAAATCCAAAAGGATTCAGTAAACTCTACGTGTCCAGGGAACACACCCTATCATTCCCTGATAATAGGGGAGAAAGGTTGTGTGACACTTTTCAATAAGACAATCTAACAAAAAGCTAGTATGTTTAAAGTCCATCGATCTATACATTTTACTCAGCCACAAAACACTTTGCTACCACTAAACGTTAATCTACTGTTACACAAACAATGTAAGATGTAGACATCTGGATTGCGCCTAAACTTTGCCATGGCCCTTTCCACATTGTAGAACTACAGCAGGCATCAAAGGCGTGGATTGTCCACCCACTCAGAGGGAATTGTTTACGACAAACACTATCAATCTTTAATAACAGGACAGGAGTGATCACGGGTAGAATATAGAATTTGCAATATCCACACCTCGTATCATTTGCCAATTCAAGCTGTTCCTCAACTTAACTAAAAGGTTTTGTTATGCGAGTGTTCATACGTCGCTGCATCTGACAGGATCACCTCTGACTTGAATCTGAGGTCATCATTGTACAGATGATCAGAAACGCAGGCTCCTTCTGCACTCACTTAAACGGCTGTGGTGCCTTTGATCTGTTTACATTCTCAGTTGGCACACAGGCAGACAGACACCGTGACCTTATCCACCGGTGCTTCCTGAGACTTTGTTGGAGATGAGAGCAGCATGCAAATGAGCTTTTTTAGCCAATCACTAAGTTACCTGCAGTGAGCCTAGTCTAATCACTTTCCCCAGGAGTTGGTTTCCCTCATGGCAGACGGTCAAAGAGTCCTGGTTGGCTCGTCCACCCTCCCTTCCCTCTGTCTTGTGCTTTTGATTGCCATCTTTTTGGCTCAAGGATGTTTTTTTTGTCCAAACTAATCTCTGCTGACCGAAAAAGGGCATTAATCATTCAAGAGTGGATATTTTACAAGTCTAGGTTTGAGGTGGTTGATGTTTTTGGATGAAATGGTAATGAAAACCGTTTTCAGTGTTTGTTCTAATACCGAGCCTGCTTTCTCTTTGGAGAAAGTAATAAAAGAGAGTCCAGGAAAAAAAGGTGTCTAGGACAGGTGTTCTGCATCAGGGAGTTAGCCCTGTTTTTATTTTTAGCTGCAGACCTTCAGGGGTTCTTCAAAATTGTGTTGGTATTAAAGCTGTTCTCCCGTGGTGCGCTGTGGCACTGTCACTCACTATCATTCAACACTGCTTTAATATATTTTCCACTTAAAGGCAGTGGGCAAGCTAAAACATTGAAAGACGTATCCTGTCATTTAAGAAGATAGATGAATTGCCATTCATTTTCCAAATGTGTAATATTTCTTATTCATGCATTTGGGCTGCAACTAATGAGGAATGATTTTGAGAATTTTCATAGATTAATACAAATTATCCAATTAGACCCATTTGAATGTTCGTAGGAAAGATTTTAATTACACTATTGCACCACATGGGATTTAATTAACAATATCTGTTAATGCATAAGAATGCCTGCTGAACGTCATCTGCATTAAAAAACCTCTCATATTCATTTTTGATATGGTTAGCAGACATGAGAGTATTTTTAATTACAGCGCTTTTCTCCCTCCCTTAAGTCTAAATCAGGTTGGCTTTGGTGGATTTAATGGCAATTCACAAAGGTGGCAGGTCATTACTTTGCTTCATGAGGAGGTTTAATTTCCATGCAATTCAGAGTCGAACCAAATCATTTGTAGATGCCAAGTAATGGGCATGGATGTGTTTATTCCACAAAACATAAATAAGCGTTTGGCAGATGGCTGCCACAGCGTCTTAACATTTCACAATGTGAATTTGCTGGGTAAACACATTCTGTTTTGTTAAACAGACCACCCTTGTGAAGCATTGCTAACGGAGACTGCCATGGTGGAGTAGTGTTTGGATTAGTACCCTGCTGATTAGAAAACTTTTCACTCAATGGTGTGGTGGTTTGAATTGTGAAATCTTGGAGGAAGAAGTTGACAGACTCTCTGTTCTCCCACAACATCTCCAGTGATCTGGCAACAGATCTAAGTGAAGGAATGTGAGCTTTGAGTTAGGTGTCATCGGCCCACATGCTCCACAGTATCTGCAGCCATGCTGATTCATCCCCGTCACGTTGGCAATTGTATAAACATTTGTGAGACTGATTCAGTAATGGTGCTTATTCCAGCTACTCCGAGTCTGACTGGGTGGATTCTTGTAATTCCTCTGAACTTTATTCAGCTCTCTCAGAATGGATGAAAGGCGTTGCGGCTGCCAGATCACCACACGGCCCCTCGGAGGCTTAGCAAGGAAAGACGAGACGAGAGCTCCTACTAAGCTGCTCGGAGACTGCAACGTTATTGACAGTCAATGCAGCAGACTTATCTTAGCTGGCAATGATGGGAGCCATTGTGAACATTCAATCTGTGTCTTACATGCTCATAGGAATTGACGTAATAGACTTTAGAAATTATTCGATTATAGACAAAAAAAGTAACCTTTGCTACATGTAGGCCAAGAGGTCAGGACATACATATTACATCTGCTAGTGCCTCAACTCTATGTCCTGCACAATGTGTTAATATAATAGCCTTCTAACTTGCTTTGCCAGTTCAATCGTTGAGCTCTTGGCCGTCTGGAATGAGCTTACTGGCAGTTTTAGATACAAGAAAGTACAGGAAGTGTAACCAGAGACAGAAGCTTTCCATGTGATGCTAATAACACTTGAGAAAGGTTGTGGTTAAGAC